AAGAACAAAGAGGAACTGTTCTGGAAATTTTTCTAGTAGACTCCACCAAACCCATCCACAGATCTCTTCTCATGCTCTAGAGAGCAAGGCTGATCTTGTTCTCAGTCCCCTGTCCATCCCAAGGCTTAGGAGAATACCTGGCACAGAGCAGGTGATTACATGTGTTTATAAGAGGAGGAGTGGGGGATGTGAGGATGGGGGGATGGATGGATGGATGAATGGATGGATGAAGGGATGGATGGATGGATGGATGAAAGGATGGAAGGATGGATGGATGGATGAAGGGATGGATGGATGGATGGATGGATGGATGGATGAAGGGGTGGATGGATGGATGGATGGATGGATGGATGAATGGATGGGTGGGTGGATGGATGAAGGGTGGATGGATGGATGGATAAAGGGGTGGATGGATGAAGGGGTGGATGGATGGATGGATAAAGGGGTGGATGGATGGATGAAGGGGTGGATGGATGGACAAACATATAGATAGGTAAGTAGGTGCATGTATAGTATATGTATTATGTATGTATGTATGTATGTATGTATTATGTATGTATGTGTGAGTGGATGGATGGGTGGATGAGTGAGCAAATGGATACGTAAATGGGTGAATGACTGAAACAAAAAGAACAAAATATCAACATGGGGTTTCTATGAATAAAATATGACATGTGAATTCTTTGCATAAATTCACATAATGAAATAATTGTTTATCAACAGGATCAGTGTAAACCTTAAGATACAACCACTCTCATTTAAAACAAAGAAACAAACAGGCAATTTGAATGTAAGACAGTGTACAACCGGGGGCCCCATTGTTAGCATTCTTGCCACGAATGGCATGTTTAAGAAGTCCCCAAGGAGGGGAGGGCTCGCGTCAGGCTGGACTGCTCATGTAGACATACAGACTAGCCAGGGTTCTCAGTCACTGTGGCCAGACTGCAGTGCACGGAGGCAGCCCGCCTGTCCCATGCTGCCCAGGCAAGTCTGTTCAGCCTTCCAGGTGTTCCCCACCCCCGTCACCCCCGCCTCAATTGTTTCCCAACTCAGAGATCTACAGAAGACCAGGCTGGGCATGAACAACATGAGCACAGGAGTGGTTCTGTGAGCAAAGGGGCTGGGTGCTTTGGGCCAGTCAAGGCCTTGGTCTCTCACAACCTTCCTGCAGCATAGGGTAGGGTCTCAGCTTTAGGGTTAGGACACTAAGGACCAGAGAAGTTAAAGAACTCAACTACAGTCACGCAGTGTGGAACAAAACCAGGTTCTGGCCCAGACACCTTACAGATGTGTGCTGTCCCGCTTCTTCATTTATGCACGAATGTGTGAGCCCTGTAGGGTTCAACCACTCTTCAGGTGATCGTCATCAGTGACCTCCTTCCAGAGACTAAGAAAAGCCTGGAAGGCTGGTCAAGACTTTCTCATGCCAATGTCCCTCTCAATAAGCATTGGAAATGTGGTGTAGTTTTAATTTTTCAGTGACTTTATCTTAATTATAAATGAGCTGGGCAGGTGAGATGGCTCAAGGTAAAGGAGCTTGCCACCAAGCCTGCCAACCTGGGTTCAAGCCTCAGGACCCGCAATAAAGAAGGAAAGAACTGGCTCCCCTCAGCTGGTCTCTGATTTCCACATTTACACTGTAGTAAGACTGTGCCAACACACACACACACAAAGAGAGAGAGAGAGAGAGAGAGAGAGAGAGAGAGAAATAATTAATTACCTAATAATTGTGCCAGGTATAGTGGCACATCCCCCTAATCCTAGCACTTGGGAGGAAAAGAGAGGAAGATCAGGAGTTCAGGATTACCTTTAGGTACATCTAGAGCTCAAGGCCAACATGGAAAACATGAGAGTGTGCCTCCAAAAACTCAATTAAGATTAAGAAGGCTTTTTAATTAACATACTGTGTAATTCTGTATGTCATAAGTATGGTCCACAGGGTGCTGTGACATTACGTATCATACATCTAAGAACCATGGCTCAAGCTCTTCACCTCTGACAGCACTTACTCAGCGGAGTCAGGGGTTTGCTGTACCTGTTTTTATTCCTGTTGAACAGTCTTTAGGTCTGGATCTGGTTACATCAAGTTCACTATGTAGGTTGAGGACTGAGAGAGCAGAACAGCAGGAAGAAAGCTGTGTCCTGTATCCAGTTAAACTTGAAGAGCTAGCTGGGCGGTGGTACCACACATCTTTAACCCACTCTAGAGGCACAGGCAGGCGGATCTCTGAGCTGGAGGCCACACACGCACACTGAGGTGCTGCTGGCCATCTTCAAGAATGCCTTCCTGAGTCCTCTGCAGCCTTCAAGTCACTGACCACGGGTGCCGACCTCCTGGATTCGCTGGGCTTGAGCCCACAGTTTAACCTGGAGCCCCATGGTTCTCAGAACCACATGGTTCTGAGCAGAGTTTACTGCCACCTTCTCCTGAAGACTTGCATCCTTCATGAATAAGCAATGTATCTGATGAAGACCTGTTCCTGTCCGGGTCTGCCCTGTGGCACACTCAGATGCTCCCTGTACTGCTGGCACTAATCGGGAATGCCTGCTGAAGGGGGACCCCGTCTGGATTCAACCTCTCCTTCCAGGGAAGTAGTGCACTGTAGGAGACCTGTGATCAAAAACTCAGGCAAAAGCTGAAAATATGGATCATGGATACATTCAGAATTAAATAATCCTGTGAACCCATGGAAACTCTTTTAAAAACTTTATAGATCAGCCAGGCGTGATGGTACAAGACTTTGGTCCCAGCACTTGGGAGGCAGAGGCAGGCAGATGTCTGAGTTTGAGGTCAGCCTGGTCTATCTACAAAGTGAGTTCCAGGACAACCAAGGCTACACAGAGAAACCTTGTCTCAAAAAGAAAATTTTAGTGAAAATTTACAGGTCTGCTTTTCCCCCATTTAAAATGTCATTAAAGAGCCAGGCACAGTGGCACAAACCTATAATCCCAGCGCTCAGGTAGGTAAAGGCAGGCAAATCTCTATGAGTTCAAGCCCAGCCTGGTCTACAAAGCGAATCCAGGACAGCCAAGTCTACATAGAAAGACCCTGTCTCAAAAAACAAAAAATTAAAACAAAAAAGAAAAAAAGAATTAAAGTCAATCACACAGAAAAGCTAGGTACATTGGCCTCTGTAATTCCCACTGTATGTCTGGGAGTGAGCCATGTTTTTATTGTAGTCCCTTAAAGAGACCATAAGGAACCAGAAGGATCCGTGTCAACGTGTGTCCTTCATCCAGCACAAAAGGAATGGGTCTCAAGCTGATCCGAGAGTCAGAAGGTTACAGTGACAGGCCTCTGGTCACTGACACTGGCCAGAAGGTCCATCGACTTAACACCGCCCACGCAGGACAGCGCAGCACAATGAGACCCGCTTTCTGGAGGGAAGCCCTGAGGACTTCTAAATCTTCTTAGGCCACACTCTGAGGTGCAATCTAAGATGGGGAGACAAAGGAAAGGCCGGACTTCACCAGTAGGAGCAAGGCCCTGTGATTCAAGTTCTTAACTTCGGAATAGTCCTCGCCTGGCCTGGCGGGGGAGAGCGTGTAGACACCCACCGAGGAACCACACCCAAATGATAGAGTCCCTAGGGAGAAATGCAAAAGCCACAGGACTCCCCCCTCCAGCTGCTTTTTTTTTTTTTAACGCAGCTTCCGGCCCTTGTGCCTAGCTGCCTGTTCAGATCTGTAAAGGAAGATGCTGCTTGTGTGGCAGGAGCCCAGGGCAGCCTCTGGAAGCCTGAACAAGGATTTTCTTTGGAGTCTCCACCTTGAATCCAGAACCTTTGGATCTCATAGCCCCTGACAAAGCCAGGTCAGAAGTGGAAAGATAGAGCCAAGGCAGCCACCCTGAACTAAGCTCCAGGCCTCCTTGGCTCTGACGTGGTGTCAGCTAGGCTTAAGGTAGGCTCTGCCTGAACCGCAGGCCTTTCTGAGATTTCTGCGGCCTGGTTTCCCTCCTTAAGCGGAGAGGGGCTTGCTGCAGCGTTAAGGAAAGCCCTGGAGCTCCCCGCAGAGAGCAGCCCGGGTCCCAGGGACTGCATAGGGAAGGGGGGGGGGCTTAGCATCCGCCCAGCCCCACAACCTGCAAAGCGGGCTGAACCCCGGCTTTCCCTGCCTGTAGCAGAAAGGCGGGTCCTGGTTTGGGCAGAATCCCAAGGTCGGATGCCCAGCGCCTAGGACACGCCAGGCCCCTCTGAACTGAGGGCCCGTGTGCACACCAGCCCCCCGGGATGCGGGTTTGACATCTGTTTGCCAGAGTGTTTTGCACTTAGGCTAACACCCACTATTACATGACAAAACTGTGGCAGCCTGTCAAAGCCAGCTGACTGGCAGCTGCTCCGCTTACAAAAACCATTCAAATATTTGCAGGTTCTGAGTCTTTCTGCACTGTTGTACCCAATCTTTCAGTGATTTAACATGCAAACTATAAGTCAAAGTTTTAAATCTGGATTCCACAATGTTTCCATTTTCCATACAAAGGGAAAGCGCTTCCCTGGGACGACTCCAGCTCCCCAGTCCTCACTTCCTGCCCCCAGATTCCTGCACAAACCCGGGATTTGAAAAGCAACCAGAGCCAAACTCCCTCTCCTTGGTGGTTCTGACACTAGGAATAACGAGCTAAATTAGTTAACACTCCGAGAGAATGAGGCTTCTGGGGAGTAGACTGGGAAAACAGTGAGTCCCCAAGGAACTCCGTCCGCTTCATCCGTCCTCTCCGCCGGGCCACCGAGCCTTCGCGGGCAGAGCCCGGCTACCAGGGAAGCAGTCCCAGGCAACACGCCAGTCTCTGGCGATTCCCAGCACACCAAATCCCGCATTACACTCCGAAATCGCTCAGTCCGATTAAGAAATAATTTGCAAATGACAAAGTGTTTGCCTAGATTAAGATCCGCGAGGGGAAAGTCATGTGGGGTTTTGTCTCCGAGGTTAGAGCCAGACACAGATCTGCTGAACGGCCCCCGCCCCGCGCAGCTGCCAGCGGGGGGTGGGGTGGGGTGCGTTCGCGTCTGTCCACCAGGGAGCCCCAGATAAGAACGCGGCCCCAGCACCCGGGTGAGCAAACGCTTGGTTCTGTCACGTGTGCTGTGTTTGTACTTATTTTTTTTATATTAGCAGATGTCTTTCCTAAGGTCGTGAGGGAATTTAAAACCCTGTGGGCGGAACGTGGGGTCATCATCCCTTTAAGGAAAAAAAGAAAAGAAAAGAAAAAAAGAAACAGTTTGCCTTTGAAACATTTCCTGCGTGCAGGTCCAAAGTGTTGACATCTCCCCGTCGTTAGGGACCGAAGGGGAGAGGGAGACGGGGAAAGCGAGGGAAACTGAAAGCCAGGTTCGAGCGAGCGGCTGCCTGGGCGCCTTCTCGGCCTCTCTACCGCGCCGTGGCTGGACGGGCCCGCGAAGGCGGAGGTGACAGCGCGCCGGGAGGGTGGCGGGCTGCCGGCTGCCACTGCGCCCGCTCGCTCCCTCCGTGCGCACCGCGCCGACCCCGGCCGGGCCACTTATTGTTGTTGTTGTTGTTGTTATTGTTGTTATTGTTGTTATTTAAACCTGTAGAGTGCTGCGTCCACACCCCAACCTTTAGACCGTGTCTTCCGTTCTGTCCTTGGCAGAAGGAGCATGGGGGGGGGGGGGG